GGCTTCTTTTCTTTAAGAGGAATATATATATATATATATATTAATACATTAATAGAAATGTGTTCAGATGAGATTAATGGGTGTCTAGGGATGGCTGTGAGAGTGGCAGCTCAAAGCTATGTCACATAAGATATAGTTGATAAACAAAAGCTGTTTGTCCTGGAGAAAATAGATTATGGAGGTACTTATAATCATTTCAGAGAACTAGAGGATTTTACATATTAACTAGATAACATGATCAATGAATACCTAGTGCTCCACCCCTTAGAAAAAAGAGACAATTAAAAGAAAAAAAATCTGTAGACAAACCATTAACTTTTTTTAGATCAATTCTGTGGAATCCTACAAAAAACAAAAATGTTCCAGACAATTGGGAACATAAATTTTAACTTGACTTTGAGGGACACCAACCTGACACAACATAAATCTACATACTATAAAGGCAGAAATATTTTTGAATGGTCAATATTTAACTAAATTAGACTTCATCAAAAGGTAAATTCAAAAGTTTCAGGAGTTTTATTGTAGATGTCTTCTAGATGCTGATCATATTTGATCACCTGGTCTTTCAATTATTTGTGGAGCCCAAGGAGTAGCCTCAGGATATTTAAGGATCAGCAATTAGTTCAGTAGGTAGGTGCTCTAACTAGAGGGCCATGAATTGTGAGGAACTACCCATTTTAGCCTGCATTTTACAAAACAATAACACTTATATGAGAAATAATAATTCCTTAGCTTTGCATTCAAGTCTTCAGTTCTAATTTTCAATGCTCAGAGTAATGCAAACCCTTTACCAAAGCTACATTAATTTCACTGTTCCCTAGATCTCAAGTTGGCTTTCATCTCTCTTTCTACCTTTTCTTTGCCCTCTACTTATCTAAACACTTCTAGATCCTCAGAACATACTTAAGTCATACTTCTCCATAAAGACTTTCCAGATCCCTCCCACCAGTTCAGGGATCTCTCTGAGTCTTTTGCAATATTCTCAAACTCACGTTAGCATGAAATTAGATAATGCCTTGCAAAGCAATTTAAAAGCCTATGGTATATTTGGTATATTTTGTTTCTCTGATAATATTAGTTTCCAATTAAAGGCTATTTATTTCTTTTGTTTTAATACCTAGAGGATACTATGCAAAAAAGCAAATAATTATTGAATGAATCTTTACTAGATTGACAAATCAAAGTATTTAAATACTTTTTAAACACTTTATCATATTTTGTTTATCAATATTCTAACTCATTTCAAAAAGAATTTGAGATAGACCATAAAAAAAGTCAAATACATGTTAACATTTCTAGAAAAGAAATAGACCTCAAACCATAAATAAATAAATAAATAAATAAAATAAGGAAGCATGAGGATATGCTATCCAGGAGGGTTAATACTGGGATAAATATTAAAATTAGTTCTGAGTCTCTTGGTAGCTAAGAAGACAGATGAGTTATATAATCTCTTACTGTCTGATAAAATGTCGTAGACCAGTTCTTTATAATTTTTCTTATATTAAATTCTAATGGAAACTTATCTCTTGAGATGGTACTAAGGGGTCACTGGGCAAGACAATGAATAATGTTTTCAATATATTTTACAACTAATGCATATGAGTTTTTCTTGTGATGTTTGTTAAAGAACAAAAGTATACTTAGAATTGATACTACTTAGAAATATAAATACATAATGTGATAAATTCCCTTAAGCATATTTTTTTCTCTCTCTCAGTCTTTTCAGACAGACAATTGAAGGGGTTTTTCAATATCTCCATTCTTTGTCATCGGTCTCTTCATTTTATGACTTATGGAGCTTAGCTATTTGTATTGTCATTAGCTACACTCTCTATTCTCACAATTGATATTCATCTGAATTATATTTATTGATAATAATTTCACAAATTTATATCTATTCAGTGCTTTAGAATCCACGTAATAACTTACTATCCATACAGAATATGTTACTATCCGTTATTAAATGTGACCCTCACAAGAACACTCAGTGTTATTACTACTTTAATTTTTTATGTTTGAAAACTGACAGCATAAGAGATGAAGAGCAGATACCTGAGTCCCATCTACATGCATAATGCATACATTAACAAAATAGGGGTGGGGATAGGGCAAAAGATAGTGATGGTGCTTCTATTCTCTTCCAAGATAATCCATTTTGAAATAGCAGTGCCATCTAGTGGTTATTTTAGACACAAAAGGAATGAAGATGTTTCAAGATGGCCCTTGGATAGTTCAATCAACATTTTATGCTATCCTGACATGCATTATTTGAGCTTAGAGCATTTCCTGCTAGCTGACAGATTCTGACCTTTCAATATAGAAAGTGCACCACATCTACCCAGAGTCAGTCAAAGCTATTGATCCTGATAAATAATTTGACCTCCACCAGTGGTTCTCCTCCAGTTATTTAATATTTAAGAAAGCCAGCAATGTAATCTGAAGAGGTCAAGTGTGCTTAGGAAGGACTGTTGACAAGGTATCAGAAAGAAGTCTTACTGGTAAGTGCACGTGTCAGAGAAAAACAAGACATGTTTTTCTGTATGTTTCCCAAGACGAAAGACACCAAAATATTGTCCCACAAGTAAGATGGGGTCTGTGGATAACATATAACTAACAACTAATGTGGTGCCTCACATTTTAAAGGTTACAAAACCATCTGACCTATATTATCACATGGCTCTCCTATAAATGTTTACAAGCACTGTGTATTTTTCTTTGTTGGTGCATGTCATTAGCTTTGTTTAGAATATATCCTCTCCATCTGCACGTTGAAGAGCCAACCAAAGTGCCACTTTCTTTTTTTAAATTTTTACTGACCCCTCTTTAGCTCATCACCATGGACTGCTAGTTTCCTTTTTAGCCAGGTCTCATCACACCTCAGTGTTCCTTTAAACACTTATTTTTTTTTTATTTGCTTATGTTCTATATTCTCTACTGGATCAAAAAGACCTTGGGAATCAAGTTTTATTGGTTATTCTCTAAACAATATGCCTTATAACTGGCCTAGGGCCTATTTTTGTGCCCCCCAGAAACTCCTGGGTAGCTGACTCTTGTTCTAATTCTGCAGGTTGAAGTTTAGGAACACTCTTAGATCAGTGTTGTCAGCCTGAGAAAGCTGAGTGACAAATGAACTGTTTTCAAGGCTGAGGGTAGAGTGCTATACTTTTTCTGTTAGTCATGCTATATATTGCACAGACCAAAATTTGATAATGTGCTAATAAGGAATAACCCCAGTGCAAACTGCTCCAGTCTTACATACACGAGGCTGACCTTGGAGTATGGGTGAGTCAATATGAACTTTCCATAGCTTTGACATGACCTTCACTCACTCAGATATTATCATTTGCAACTATGTATCCCCCAAGTGAGGATTTAGAAAACTTTCACCTTTTCCTGTCCTGCATAATGTGACTGATTCCTTACCATCTTTACTATATTTTCTTTTTTATACTTTAGATAACTCAAGTTTGACTGCCCCAAGTGATGTATGAAGCTGTCATCACATCAGTCTGAAGCTACTACTGTTGCAGTGGCCATGCCTTTAGAATACTATTTGCCCCAGGGTATGAATTTCATATATGGTTGTTGAATAAATACAAGAATAAGTGAATGAATAAACACATGAATTACCAAATAAAAAAGTGGAAGGAATATATGCAAGAAGCACATAGAATGATGCTATGTTTTTATTTTAATTTACTCATTTATTCACCTGACATGTATGAGGTATTTCTGAAGATCCAAACTATGTAAGGTGTTGGGGGGATGTATTTGGACACATGAGTCAAGTGTAACAAAGTGGCATGAAGAAATCTAAATAGGATGGTGTATTTCTCCTTCTACTTCATAGGAAACAGCTCAGCTACCCAGTGAGTCTGACATCTGCCTGTCTATACCAGGTAGTTGAAAGATGACTTAGGTCAGTAGAGAACTGCAAAATTGCAAGCACGGAAAAACACATAGAAAACACAGCCAACAGCCATGGTCCCACCACCAAGTTAAACACTGCTGACATTTTAATATGTATAATTCTAACAATAATAATAAAGCAGAAGCACATACATGCTAATGTTTATGGAGCTCTCAATATGTGCTGGGAACTAGGCATTATTTATCTTTGCAAATGTCACATAACTTCTGTCATAGATGCTACGCTGCACCTTCCAGAGCGCAATTTCAGAAATGAAGGACAGATTTTCCAGTTTGGGGGAAGGTTGTCTTGCTGACAGTGCTCAGATGTCGGGCTTCATTAAGAATTGCCTCAGCTGTACAGAACTGCCTCCCAAACTCTCATCACCTTCCAAGGCCAGCCTGCATCCAATACCAACCCATATTGGGGAATAAAGGGCTGCCCCCTCTCCCCAACTTGGGACTGCTCTGATAGACATTCCCAGTTTCAGAACTCCTCATGGGGCTGGTTCTGTTGTAACTTCACCCTCTGCTCAAGCCAGCTGCCACCTTTCCTTCACAGGTGCAAGTACTTAGAAGACTCCTCAGTAAAGTTTTCCATGCTAACCTCTGCCTCATCGACTTCCCTAGGGATACCCCAACTTAGTGGCAGCTACATGAGGGTAGGTAATTGTCGCAAGCAAGGAAAGCAGCTATTGAAGTAACACCCTTGGAATACATTTGTGTCTTTTCACATATCGAGTGGAACGTTGTCATATAAACCAATCAGGGATCCACATAGGTTAACACATAATACACAGAGTCTTATGTGACAGGGTGAAGGGATGAGAGTCCTTAGTGTCTCCAAAGTGAGCTCTGTTGATTGACAGCACAGATGATTTTGCAATGGTCTCAAGTCAGTGGCTACAAGAGACAGTCAGAATCTTCAGCTCTCAGTGTTCCCGTCCATGATGTGGTCAGGTCAGGCTTGAACATCATCTGTCTGTGGTGTTCAGCTTATATGGTCCTTACAGGGTGGAATCTTATGCTTATTAGTTCCTGCAATTGGGGCTTTCTGAGGGCACTTGTGGCTGATGTTTCTGTGGTTTTGGGTGTTCTGGTCACTCCCTAAGAATGTTCCCACTATGTGCCAACACTGTCATGGCTCCCATGTAATCCATTTTGTAAAGTCCAATAAGTCTTCAATTCTTTATGGTCTATACAGTAATATTATTAGATCATATTGCAAATTCCAATTTATAGATAATGTAATTCAAGCAGAAAAGTGTAAGCAAGTTGTTCTAGATTCTCTTGAAAGGAAAGGTCTGACCAGGATTCCAAGGTTATCTGCCTGTTGAAATTTAGTACTTGAACAAGCCAATTAAATAGTTGGTAATTAGGGAAATAATTGATTTTGGAGTTTATTTTTCTACCCAAGAAAGAAAAGTTAGAACTGTGTTTTTTCAGGCAAGAGCTTCTCCCTCCCACCTTCTCCCAGCTTCTCCCATCCCATAACCCCCAGCACACAGTGTTTTTGTTTTGTAGTATTAGGATTTCAGACTCAGAGAGGAAGACTGTATTGGACAGTCTGAAACCTGAAGGGCGTGGAGGCTAGAGCTTGAAGTTAAGAGTGTGCAAAGCCCAGCCACGGAGAAGGAGAAGCCCTGAGGCCAAGGAGAAGGCTTTAAGTTCTTAAGGACAGAGATTTGCATACTGCTTCCATAAAGCTCCTGGGGGTTGTGGCAGGACCTCTCAGACAAGGCTAGAGGGAGTTCACAGTAAGAGTCATGGTTTTAGGAGCTGTGGCACAATATCCTCATGTTTAGTGTATAGAGCCATCAGCTTTGGAAAGGAGAAACGAGCTTTAGAGCATCTCTAAAATGGCATAAGGAACCAATGCCTACCCCAGATTATGGCAGCACATAAATTTAAGGTTCCTGTAGTATCCCATGTATGCCACCCCACTAATGTCTGAGAATTAATTTAGCAACAGTCATGTAGGTAGATGTTGTAACAAGGTTCATTTTATTTAGAGAAATACAGGACTGTAACACATCCTACTCTTAAATGTTTTTAGATAAAATAGAATTTCTTTAAAGATATATATATATACACACACACAACTAAAATAAATAATATTTTATACATTTAAATTAGTTATCTTTATCATGCAATTTTCAATGTCTGCATGAAAATCTATTATATGGTTTTAATAATTAATCTGATAATCAGTTTAGTTAATCTAATATCTACTCTTAACCATCTAAAATAATTTAAATTTTTCTTTTTATGAACAACATTGTAATAAACATCTTTGCAAAATATTTTTATTTACATCCAATATTATTGCTTTAGGATCAAATTTTAAAAATGGAGTTGCTGAGCTTTATAGCAAATGCACATTGTTAGGGCTTTGATATACATTTCCTATTTGCTCTACTGAAAATCTGATCCAATTTAAACACTGACTAGCCCATGTTCCCATACTGTCATCAACAGGTATTCTTCTTTAGTCTTTGATAATTTTATGTCCAAAATGTAGTCTTTGATTGTTCTTAGGTGTTAACATTCATTGCTTTCTTCAAACACTTTGATTTTTACCGGATGAGCAGTACAGACTCTTAGGTAGGTGTATTTAAAAAAGCCACATTAATAGACATCCAGTGAGTTTTGTAAATTCTTTATTTTCCCTGCCAATTATGAATGTCTTATTTAGGATTCCTCAGATAGAACAGACAAGCTGAATGAAAAGAATAAATAAACCAGGTTAGATAATGGAATGCAGCCTCTCTTTCCAAATCAAAGCTTCCTTTCCTTGCATATTCTTAAAATGCAAAGGCAAGAAAAGACAACATCATGAGCATTAATCCTGGAGTACGAAAAGTTCAGAAAAGCACAGAAAAACATACATCAAACCCTTCTTAGCTCCAGGGATAAACTCTGACCTTTACAAAAATTGCTGTGTTTCTCCTCAAGGTCTACCTCTCTGTTCTCCAGATAACTGTGGAGATGCAATGGAAATATCTTTGTGTTCGTTTGCTCATTTATTTATTTAGTCAAGATGTTTATATTAAGCATTTAGTTTGTCGGACTCTATATAAGTTTTTTATTTTCATAGTTATCGCTTTTAAATCTTATTTTAAAAAAAATTAAGCCTATGAATATAATATTAGTATCTATATTAGTTTCCTAGGGGCTGTTGTAACAAAGTGCCACAAATTGAGTCACTTAAACTGAAGAGATTTATTTTCTCGCAGTTTGGAGGCTTGAAGTCTGAGATCAAGGTGTCAGCAGGATTCATTCCTTCTGAGGGCTGTGAAAAAGAATCTGTCCCAAATCTTTTTTCCTAGCTTCTGGTGTTTGGCTGGCAATCTGTCATTCTTTGGCTTGTATCTGGTATCTGTCTTTATCTTCAAATAGTGGTCTTCTTGTGCTTTTCTTTGTGTTGAAATTTCCCCCTTTTATAAGGATTCCAGTAATATTGGATTAGGGGCTCACCCTACTCTGGTATGACCTCATCTTGACTAGTTACATTTATGAGAACCGTGTTTCCAAGTACAGTCACATTCTGAGGTACTGGGGGTTAAGACTTCAATATGTAAATTTGGGGTGAGTGTGCTGCAAAATTCAACCCATAACAGTATCTCATTTATAGACATGAAAGCTGAAACTCAGAACACACGATACGTGTAAGGAGCACACACTGAATTTTAGCTTTATGTAGGTCATTGTTTTTGTGCAGAAGAGAACCAGGATATGAAGTCATTGCACTTTCTATCACATCGGGAGTTCTTGTGATTTCAAAATCTTAGACACCTGATAGAACTGTGCGTGAGGCTGAAAAAGTAGGTAAGTGCTAAAAAGACAGGAGGTTTTAAAGGCCAAATTTAGATGTCTGGTATTAATTTTAAAGGGAGTTAGAAACAGTTTATGAGCAAATGAGTGAATCAGTTATATAACTGGTAGTTATGTATTGGATAAAGTCTATATTGCCCAGAAAAGTTTTACAGTTAGTACCTTAGCTCCCTAATACTTATTATCATTATTTTTTAATGTATATTAGGGTAAAACTCCCTTGGTGATAAGTTGAGGTTGTCACAATTGAGGTTGGTAGCAAAACTAGGGGTAAAGACTTCTGAATCCTAACAAGTTTATCTTTCTCTTGTACTTTATTGCAGCTCTCTGAATTCTCTGACGTCAATAGAATGTCCAACCATCCAGTCCTGTTCTGACAGTACCAGGAGTTAGCATCAGACTCCACAGATTGAAGGGCACAGGTCCACAAGACTGACTTCACTGCAGGCACCAGTCTCAAGGCCCAGGTCTCCAGGCTACCTGCACTTCTCTCCAACTTGGCTACAAATTTAGGGGTTCTCACGACCCCCACTCAGGTTAAATAATTTGCTAGAAATACAGAACTCAAGGAAACACTCTAGTTATGTTAACCAGTTTATTATAAAGGATCCAACTCATGAACAGCCAAAGGAAGAGATGCATAGTCAAGGAATGGAAACGGGGTATTTCATGGACTTTGATACCCTCTCTGAGTGTTCCGCCCTTCCAGCACCTTAATGTACACAACCTGGAAGCTCTCTGAACTTTATTGTTTAAGAGTTTTTATGACCCAATCTCCAGTAGAACCTCTCCTTCCTTAGAAGTTGGAGAGGAAAGAGGGCTGAGAATTCCCACTCTGTAATCAGGTGTTTGGCCTTTCTAGTGACTGGTCAATAACCTGAAGCTATTTGGGGCCTCATCCTGAGTCACCTCATTAGCATTGCTTTAGGTATCTTCCAAAGGGTCTCTTCTTGAATAACAAAAGACACTCCTAACGCTCAGGAAATTCCAAGGGTTTTAGGATCTCTGTGCCAGGATCAAGAAATCAAGAGTAAATACATATTTGTTATTATTCCATAATAATATTATATTATTAATATTAATATAATAGCATTATTATATTATTGTTAATATTAATAATATAATATAATAATGATGTTATTACATTAATATTAATAATATAATATTATTCCATTCTATAGGCTGATAGAGTATATATTAATTTTGTTTTAATAACAAGCATTTCCACCCCATGGTTACCATTTGACTCATCCTGGGCATAACCATGTCTCCAAATTAAGAGAGGAAAAACCAAACAAAACTAAGAGTTCTTTAAAAGATGTTTTTTGGAGAAAAAAAAATCAGCTTAGATTGGTCTAGCACTTAATAGTTTACATGTCATAATCTTTATCCTATTTGAACTCCTAGCCTGGTGGATCTCGCTCCAGGGATTTAGAGCTAATCTCTGTGAATTTTTTGTATCTATGTGCCTTAGTGGGGTTAGTGGAACCTAAATTTGAGTCCTTACTGGTTTCAACATTAAAAATAATAAACAAATAAAAAAATCAAACAAAACTCTTTCTGTTTTCCAAGATGTAGATGACTCCCATGGGCCTTTTTCTGCCAGGTTCACCTGCCTTACTGAATCTTCTAGTGGTCTTCCTCCTCCTCATCCTACTCCCAGCCCTGCTGTGTTAGCTTTATGCAATAGCAGTAACAGAGAGTAAACAACATCTTTCAATGGTCCTTATTATAATTAGAACCAATGAAACCATCCTTATCATATGACGTGCAGCCCATGGCCAAAGACAATCCAAAGAAACAAACTAACAACAGCTTCATGGGACAAATAGATGCTGGAACTGATTGAATCACAAGGCCTCTTGGTATAAAACACACCAATTCTGATGGGTTATTACCTGGCTCCTAGTGAGAGATATAATGGCAGTGTGGTATCAGAACACTTCATGATGCTGACTTTCCAGACCAGCGGGAACAAAATCCAAAATCACATCATATAAGGAATATTTAGCTTACAGATAAGACATGGGGGAATCATATCTATATCTTAATTTATCAGAAAGGCTATATATATGGTAGGTAAAAGTGAGAGAATGAAACAGATAATTAAGAGACAAATGCCCAGAGATGACCTTGGGTACACTGTTGGGTGAGGAGTTTCCCACCCTAGACACATATAGGGAGAAACTAGGAAAGATTTTGAAAGAAATGTTGTGGAGAATATTCAAAATAGGATGAGCTTGGCCTTTTTAACTTTGAATCTCCCTTTGATTCTTAAGATTCTATATTTCTAGTGTCTACTCACCTACCTCCCATTCCAGCTATACATACACACACACACACACACACACACACACACACACACAATTAAAAAGTAATAAAAAGCTATCTAGAGAACAGTATATATCTGAATTCCATGCGACAAAGACAGGCTCACCCTTTTGACTCTGCTGTCTCTCTTTGGTCTCACTAAGCCCTGTGTCTCCAGGACAACAGGTCCCAAAGAATGCTGAGTGTAATTTGCTCGGGGCACATCTCACACTGGACAGCTCTGATACAACTGATATACAAGACTACTGCCTCTTTGCCCCATCAATCACCAACTTCTCCATTAATGGAAAAGTATACTGGAGAAATAAAAATGGAAAGACAAAGTGAAAACTGAGAACAATACAAATTGTCCAACTATATGTGACTGATGGCTTGTAAGATTTCAGTCTTTTTGAAAGACCAGATACAGTTGACAGAGACAACTTTTTCCTGGGAATGGCAATAGTTACTTCTGATTCAGGAAAGGAGATGCACCTATTTTTGAGAGAATACGATAATCACCCAAATGACATTTTGAAAAAGAAATTAGCACTATAAAATTTTCCAAAGTCAATGGAAGTCTATTTAGGATAATTCCAGGCTATCTCTGACACACTGAAAACCCTGTAAATAAAGAGATGACAAACAATACCAGCACTATTATGAGATTAATAACCTGAGATATTGGCTGTCTGTTCCCACAGGTTCTAGTCCCACTCAGCATCTCAATAAGAGACAACGTGCTCACCTCTTTAGTCTCTGTTGCTTCAGTTACAATTCTGTCTACCCAGAAAAAGCACTGGACAGGTTAGCATTTCACCCCCTCTTTACTCCAGATCTGAAGAACCCTTTGATGAACTTAGAGTTCAACAGAACTTACAGTTCATAACCAAGTGATTAAGTGCTTACTCTGCAACCTGTGCTAGGGTCATGGGATTACAAAGCTAAACCATACAAAATGCTTTCCTTCAGGAAGACCAATGTAGTCAAGGAGAAAGACATGAGATGAAAATATTCTAATATAACATAGAGTACCCTGTGCAGGGTGATGTGGAAGCCTGGGGAAGATTACAGTCTCTGGTCTGGAGCTTGAGAAAAAAATTCCTGCAGGAGTATAAAATGAGCAGGAGTAGGTAATTCACATTCTTGGTCATGGAAACTTACACTATAACTTTCACTACTCTTCTATTGATATCAACTTTACATGTCATCCTGTTCCCTAATCTTAACATTAATTATGTAACAGTTTGTGTTGTATTGACAGATTTGGCAAATGAGGAAACTAAGACTCAGTGACTCTCAATGACTTGCCCATAACAGTACTGGGGACAGGACTTGAGTCCAGAACATCTGATAATAAATTTGGGAGTCTACATCAAAACCGTTTATGGGGTATGCACTTCTTTGTATTTCATTCTCAGAAATGCTCATTGTACCCTTTGAACTCTGAAAGTCATTCTTCTTAACTAAAAAGAAGGACATGGCTCTTAAAAAAAAATCACAGAAAATGTGTTATTCTGATTCCAGGATCTTTACATGGCTTAACAATGAATAACCCAACAACCGACCCAACCCTGTCTACTCTTCTCTTTCTCTATTTATGAAATGAAAATTACCCATCTGGCTGCAGTTCTCACCACTGCCTGAGCTCCACTGATCAGCTATAGAGACCTCAGAGCTGTGGTACCCTCTCCGTTCCACATGGCTATCTTAGTCATCTTTCATGTCTTCTTCTTTTCCTTTTGAAAGAGTTCGCCATTGCTCCAGAGACACTATCATTTTCCTGTCAGCCCTTACTATACATTTGTATATCCTCCACTAGATGGGACTATATCTGCCATATTCTCACTGTATCTCTACTGGGTTGCCCTGTGCCTGACATATAGGTACTTATAGTTTATTCAGCAGTCTTGTGTTGAGAGAAAAAAAAAAAAGTTATATATTTAAGATAAAATTATAGTACAGATGTAAACTTTTATATTTCTAAATCATTTAATATTAGCACATTTTATGGGGATGGGCACTCCATACTTTAGGAACAAAGCTCCTTGCTCTTTTCCTGAGACTCATGCAATTTCATCTGGCCCTCATATTATCTTTTCTACCACTTCTGCTTTTATGCTCTGAGCACTCTCTTTTTCGTTTCTTTTTATGACCCTGAGGTGTGCTTTTCTATTAAAATTCTACCAACTATAAATAATTATTCTACAACTTTCAGAGAATTACAGGTATTTTGGGTGAAGATGTCAAATACACTCAGATATCAAAACCCAGTCTTTCTTTCTCTCTTAAGTCAGGCCTCTGAATGATGCTCTCACAAAATAAGGGCTGACTCAAGGAAAACAGACATGCTTGGACTTTTCTTGATATTTTAACTATTCAATTGTACTAGTCCAGCATCATCAAACCTTCCCTTGGGGATAAGAGCTTGAGCTTCAAACCAGGTGGACCTGGGGTCTAATTGGGTACCTACCATGTCCTAGTTTTATGGCTTAGTAAATCTCTCTGGAACTCAGTTTCCTCTTAATGATGCCAACTTCATTATGATAGTTGTAAGTTAAAAATAAGAAAAAAAAAATATATATA